AGGTGAGCCGCGACTCTCAAACACTGGAGGCTACTAACCCACAACCGCAAACTGCGAAGATTGGGGAAAAAACAAAAAGCTGTCCAATTCCACAATGCTCATGTCTGTCTTCCAATCGGACCCGAGCAACAAGGCTTCCGCAGTGGGTAAGACAATGAAAGCCTGGGCGCCAATTTAAGACTAGGGTCTTGGGCTGAGGGCTCTTCTTTGAACTCCACATGTATTGGTCCAAAAACTTGAGTCTCGGAATTATGAAGTGTGGTAGATTGAAGCGTTTGAGGCCTGACGTGAGGGGGCTGAAAGCGTCCGAGAATAGTGGGCCGTTACGGTGTGGTCTCCGTGTTGTGACGGCTAAGAGGCATCAGCACTTCGGAAGATGAAGGAAACCCCATAGCACGGAACTAAACATCGGATTTCAGGGTTTCGGACTGTCACACGAGAAAGAGCACACGCCATGTACGCCATCTCCAGTTGAGGAGCATCCTTCAAGGCTCTCCAGCAGCTGGCGCTCGATTCAACATGAGCACAGCATCTGCAACATGCAGCACATGCTACGGTGGACGATTGCTGCCCGTTCTGCCAAGAACCGTCAAAGAGATTACAGGTTTTTTTCTAACGACGTGACACCTTGTCTGCCCGGAATTACTGCACGGCATGTTCTGCAAGTTCTGCTGTCGACTGCTGGGGTACCTCGTTGATGCATGTGCGAGTGTTGCACCAGTACACATCTGTGCCCGCAGAAGGCAAAGGCATGGAGCTGCATCGACAAATGGAGAAACGCTGTGACGCTGCGATCCGAATCCGAGTAAAAAATTTGCAGCAAAAGCTGTCGACATTCTGGCAATGCCGTGTTGGTGTCAAGATTCGTTTGGCCAGATGGGTGGTGGGTCAGCGCATCCATGTGCAATTCATTTTTCCGCAAACCACTCGTCTCTGGCGTGTGCTGGACCAAGCGCCAACAGCAAGCACGACCTGGCGCTTGGGCCGGGTTTCGTGCTTGGGCTAATTTGGTTGGCGCCTTCGTTTCTGATTTCGATGCCGCATTTTAGCTGCAGCTCAATTCGAATGATGCTTCAAAGCATCGAAGCTTCGGGGCAAACCCTCAGGGGCGCTTGTCTTCAAGACCATGAACACCTGTGCAGCCTATGCAGTACTGATATAGCAACCTGCCTGGCAGCCAGCGTGTAATGAGGAACGCTGGGCATGCACAGCATGCAGACCCTGAAGCAACTAGCCTCCACTGAACCACACCCCACAAACAAAAGAAGAAAAAAACAAAGAGCGAACGCCCTATCCCGAACAACTAGGGCACGAAACCCTGAAGCCGATACTTATAACTCTTTTAAAAACCCTTGCTCCAAAAAAACACATCTACAAGGCCCACAGCCGACCCTGTACACGGAGAATTTGGAAAATTACCGTCAGATCAGAATGCCTAAGACCCTAAGACAAACCATCCCTTGTCAATTGTAACCCTGAAACAATACAACACCCTTAACCCTGAAACCCTTACGCGCTCATGAAGCAGTCTCCTCTGCGGGAGTGCCCGATTTCCAGCCGGCCTGGTCAGGGTTTAGGGTTTTGCATTCTATACTTATGCTTTTATTCATGTTGATATTCATATTTCGATTCATTCCTAAATTCTTTATTCCACTGGGCCTGCGACTGCTATTCCTACTGCTACTGCTATTGATACCTACTTCTCCTCCTCCTGCTACCCCTACCCCTACCACTACCACTACCACTACCACTACCACTACCACTACCACTACCACTACCACTACCACTTCCACTACCACTACCATTACCACTACCACTACCACTACCACTACCACTACCACTACCACTACCACTACCACTACCACTACCACTACAACAACAACTACTACTACAACTACAACTACAACTACAACTCTACAACTACAACTACAACTACAACTACAACTACAACTACAACTACAACTACAACTACAACTACAACTACAACTACTACTATTTCTTCTTCTACTACTACTACTACTGCTACTACTGCTACTACTACTACTACTACTACTACTACTAGCCACCCCCCCTACCAACTACACTTGCTCCATCCGGGCTGGACAGTGGCAGCTTCTAGGC